CAGCCTGAAGTCTGAGAACTGACTCTCACAGCTCTAAAGAGCCTGCAGCATTTTCAGAAATGAATTCACATACTAAGCAACCATCAACCAAACTAGCAGTTCATCTCATTTTGCAAATCCCTAGCAAAGTCTGCTTTGGTGCACTTTACAATCATCAGGAAAGTTTTGCTAAGAAATCACACTGAATATCAGGGTATCAGCCCCTTTCTTTCCTTCCTATATACTCTTTCCAGTTCATTAAGACTGATGCTTCTTTTTGGTCTTTTAACATGCAGGTTTATTTCAGAGAAGTGGTAGCAAGATTTTCCTGTAGTTTGCTTTCCTTTTAGGCTGCATAGTTATCTGTATGTCTTAGTTTCTCCTCCTCAATGCTTCATTTCTGTACTCATACATACATAAGTGCATGTATGCATGCATATCGTTCCCTTTTTTCCTATACCATTGCAGCATCTTCTTCCACTGGGGACCATCTGACCTACATTCAGATCCCACCCAGTGAATAGCCTTGACCCTTGCTGTGCTCTTCATCTTTAGAGACTTTTCTCTCAGAGGTGTTTGGTAAATTTTGCCAGCCACCTCGTAAGAGATGGAAACGAAACCCTGGAACTAAGCAGATAAATAACTGTGTATCAATTAACACAGAAGTAACCTGCAGCTCCCACAGGGATGGATACTCAAAACCCAGCTGGTACCATGACTCATCAGCACCCTTCGCCTGAGGATTTCTGTGTTTCAGTGTAGAGGTATAGCTCTCTGGCCACCACACATTCTCATTATGGTTCCCAGGTGACTCTGAACTCAGACCTTCAGATAGAATCCAGTGGGCAATTTTCCCTGCGGTTGATGAGGCTTCTTGGATACTGCATTTACAATCTCATATTCACAAAAAGTAAAAGAAATAGCCTCCAGAGATTTCAATGGCTCCATAAGTACCAAAACAATCCCTAGCTTCTTTGATAGCTAATCTCAGCAACTAGGAAACCTAAAAAAGATTGGCATACTCATTCTGAAATGCTACGATGTCTGCTCCCCTCACACAAATGAGATTCCATTCCAGTCAGCTACTGCATATTTATGCTCAGCCTTTCATTAACTTATTGATCATATGATGATACACTATCCTTTGCTTCCTTTGGGGAAATAAAAAAAATGGGGAAAAATGTGCTGTAATGGTGGGGCTATTTCATGCTTCCTTGAATATTCAGTCCAATCCTCCTGGTCTCTTTCTGTCCTCCTTTCTCCCCAAAAGCTTCATGGATCTCCAAAGACATCCCACAAGACAGGGTGACTACCATTCCCCAGTAAGCCCCTGAGGCTGTCATTATGTGGCATGCAATTATACAGCTATATCAGGGTCAAGCGTCTCCCTTTAAGGGTAAAAAATGGTATTACACTCTAAATTCCACTACTGCAAAAACAAACAGTGCCATCAATTCATTTCCAGTCAGACCTCCACCCCCTTGGGAGAAGTATACAGAACTTTCTGGTGGGAAAAATAGTTTGGAAATACAACCTCTTTATTAGAATGGAAGCTCTTCCTTCATTCAGCTTGTCTTTCATTAGCCACCCTGGTACACTCCAGTGAAGAATGTGGCTTGAAGAGGTACTTTGAGGTCGCAGGAGGCAAGTCCCAAAGGGGTGTAGTTCACTCTTGATATGTACCCATAACTCCTGACAAGATTATGAGGTCTGATCCAAAGCTAAGTAACCACATGGCCGTTTGTAGGTAAATGTCTCTAAGGAGGGTGGCTTTTAAAGGAAGGATTCCATTACCTTGCACACAAATGAAGCGTCTATGTTCTCTGTTTTCTTTGAGCTCTCCTACTGTGAATAATATCTTCCTGTTTTTCACCCTTCTGTTTGAAACACAGAGGGAGCAGCTGAGGAGGAAAGGAAGGTTTTAAAATTCATGTGTTTTCTTACCTCAACATTGGCATATTGGATGTGGGGTTGAGTAAAACTGCATTCATATCCATAGTTCCTCTCTAGCACTCTTCTAAGAGGTACAGGAGGAAGAGAAGAGCTCTCTGAGTCCATCTTACAGCCACACAATAACAGATCACAGTAATGCTCTTTCTGTGATCCCAGAGCAGACTAGCCCATGACTTTCAAGCAAGGAGCTGTCTGATGAGACTCAGCAGAGCATCCCGGGAGAAAGAGCTCGCAGTGTAAATCTGGAGCAACACCACCAAAGTTAGCAGAGTGACTCTAGATATGCTGTGGTATCACAAAGGTCCAAAGCAGCTATTTGTGATGGCAATGAAAAAGGACCTTTTCTTTCCAGGCCTGAATCTCTCCTGAGATGTGCCAACTGTGTCAGCACAGTGTCATTGCTTCCAGTGAGGTTGCCTTTCTGCAGCTGGGAGCAAAATTTAATTCATTGGCTTCAGTGGTCATCTGAGGACAAGATTTGATACTACTTGTCACCTGGGTTTTGTACCAACAGCAAATGCTGTTTTACCAGCAGCAATGGCTATTGAGCTTTATGTAAGAAGTTGCTCAGTAAAAAGAAATTGTGAATTTGGTTACACCAAAAACGTTCTTTGCAGTTATGCCAATCATAGTAAAAATAACCACCTATCCATCACCACAGATTTAAAAATAGATAGTCATCATTTTCATGGGCAAAACCTGAACAACATCTTTTGGATCTTCACCCTTGCAGCTGCCCCAAAAGCAAACTCTGGTTTTTTGGACTTGTTCGGTTTCCTG